AATAAATAGTAGAGCAGAAAGTAGAGACTAAACAGAAACCAAAAAACAAAAACCAAACATCAAAAACCAGGAAAGATAAATGAAACCCAGGGCCTCTTCTTTGAAAAAATAAGCAAATTTATAACTCTTTAGCCAGAACCATCAGTAAAAAAGAGGAATCAAATAAAATCAGAAATGAAGCAGAATAACTAATGACACTGAAAAAATACAAAGGATTTAGAAGAGATTATGAAAAAGTATGTGCCAAAAATTAGACAACCTAGGAGAAATGGATAAATTTCTAGAAACACAATCCTCCAAAACTGAACCAGGAAGAAATGAAAAATGTGAACAGACCAATTAGTAGTAATAAAATTTAATCAGTAATAATAAAAACTCCCAATGAAAGTCAGAACCAGGCCATCATTATCCTGATACCAAAACCACACAAAGACACTACAAAGAAAACAGGCCAATACTTCTAGTGAATATAGATGCAAAAACACTTAACAAAATTATTAACAAACTGATATCGACAATACATTAGAAGGATCATTCAACAATCATGTGGGATTTATTCCAGGGATGCAACAGTGGTTCAAAATTAACAAATCAATCAACATGATATATCACATCAACAAGGGAAAGGATAAAAACCCTATGATCATCTCCACAGATAGAGGAAAAACATCTGACAAAATATAACACCCATTCATGATAAAAACTCTCAACAAAGTAGGGTTAGAGGAGACATCCCACAACCTACAAAAAGGCCATGAATGAAAAGCCCACTGCTAATCTCATACTCAATGGTAAAAAACTGAAATTGTCTTTAAGACCAAGAACAAGACAAGGATGTCCACTCTTACCACGCTTATTCAACATAGTACTGAAGCCCTACTTGTGGCAATCAGACAGGAAATAAAATCATTCAAATTGATAAGGAAGAAGTAGAACTTCCACTATTCGCAGATGACATGATAGTATATGTAGAAAACCCTTAAAACTCCACCAAAAAATGATCAGAATAAATGAATTCAGTAAACTTGCAAGATACCAAATTAGTTACAGAAATCTGTTGCATTTCTGTACTTATGATGAAGTAGCAGAATGAGAAGTAAAGAAAACAATCCCATTGACAATTATGCCCAAAAGAATAAAATACCTAGGAACAGATTTCACCAACGAGGTCAAAGACCTATACTCTGAAATGTATCAGATACCGATGAAAGAAATTGGAGAAAACACAAACAAATGGCAAGGTAGTTCATGTTTATGAACTGGAAGAATATTGTTAAAATGTTCATACTGCCCAAAGCAGTCTACAGATTTAATGTAATCTCTATCAAAATACCAATACTATTTTTCACAGAACTAGAACAAATAACCCTAAATTTGTATGGGACCACAAAAGACTCAAATAGCCAAAGAAATCTTGACAAAGAAAAACAAAACTGGAAGTATTACAATTCCAGGTTTCAAGATATACTATAAAGCCACAGTAATCAAAACAGAATGGTACTGGCACAGAAATAGACACATAGATCAGTGAAACAGAACAGAGAGCCCAGAAATAAACCCACACCTATATGGTCAATTAATCTATGACAAAGAAGTCAAGACTTTACAATGAGGAAAGGCAGTTTCTTCAACAAATGGTGTTGGGAAGGCTGGACAACTACATACAAGAGGAAACTGGACCACTTTCTTACACCATACACAAAAATAAACTCAAAATGGATTGAAGACCTAAATGTGAGACCTGAAACCATAAAACTCTGAAAAGAAAGCACAGGCTGTGTATTTTAGACACTGATTCTAGCAACATATGAATGGATATATCTCCTGAAGCAAGGGAAACTAAAGCAAAAATAAAGTTTTGGGACTACACCAATATAAAAAGATTTTTCACAGCAAAGAAAAACATCAGCTAGACAAAAAGGCCACATACTGAATGGGAGAAGATATTTAAAAATGATTTCTCAGATAAGGAGTTAATATCCAAAGTATGTAAAGGACTCATTCAACTCAACACAAACAAAAAAATTCCAATCTGATTAAAATTGGGCAGAAGCCCTGAATGGATATTTCTCCAAAGAAAATATACAGATGGCAAACACACACATGAAAAGATGCTCAAAATCACTCATCATCAGGGATATGCAAATCAAAACCACAATGAAATATCACCTTATACCTGTCAGAATGGTTAAAATAAAAAGACAGGAAATAACAAGTGTCTGCTGGTAGGAATGTAAGTTGGCACAACCACCATGGTAAACAGCATGGAGGCTCTTCAAAAAGTTCAAAATACAAATACCACACAATCCAAAAATTCCACTATTTGGTATTCACCCAAAGAAAAGGAAAATACTAAGTGGAAAAGATACACCTTTAGTTCACTGCAGCATCATTTACAATTAACTAAGATATGGAAACAATCTAAGTGTCCAACAGTAGATTAATATATAAGAAAGATGAGGCATGGAATGGAATGGAATATTACTGAGCTATAAAAAAGAATATCTAGCCATTTGTAACAACATGGATGGACCTAGAGGGTACTACAGTAAATGAAATAAGGCAGAGGACACATACATTTATATGTGAAATGTAACAAGACAAAGAAAACAGACTCATAAATCCAGAGAACTGGTGGTTTCCAGAGGTGAGCAATGGGCGAATGGGTGAATTAAGTGAAGGGGATTAAGAGGTACAAACTTCCAGTCATAAAATAAATAAATCATGGAGATGAAAAGTACAGCACATGGAACACAGTCAATAATACGGTAATAACATTGCATGGTGACAGATGTGCTAACAGCAGTTTTCGTGGCAAGCATTAGCTAATATGTAGAATTGTCTAATCACTATGTTGTGCATCTAAAACTAATAGAACATTGAGAATCAATTTTAAATAATAAAATTTTTTTCAGTAAGTGCTTATTTGATGATGGGCAAATCTTTGTACTCAGAAGATATTCACTGATGATCCACCCATAGGTGAATCTACAGCTTCACACATCCATGAAGAAAATGGATTTTAGAAATCTGTACTTAATTAGCTCAGCTTGCCTCTCTTGGAGTGGTTGACTTTGTTTATTGTGGAAATGCCCCCTTTCTCTCTATATCACCCTTGCCTGACAAGAACCCCATATTGGGCTACATCCACTTCTGGCCTACTCTGTGCCTGCACCCAGACAGCTCAGCATGACTGGTCCTCCTTGAAATTCATGAGCCCAGGCATTCAAGGAGCCTGCAGCGGTGCACAATGCCAAGTCCACGCATCCCCTCAGCTCTTATCCTTGCTCCAACCTGATGACTTTGCCTCTTTCAGTGAGAGCACAGAAGCAGTGAGAATTTCCATGGGCTCCCTCCAGGATACTCAGCCTCCTGTCAGAAACTATGCCATTGCTTCTCTGCCTTCCCTCCAGGAGAACTCTCCATGTTCCTGTCTAAAAGCAACTCCTGGATTGATCCTAGCCTCTTGCCCACTCAAATATATGAACCCCAACAATTCTTCCTTTGCTTTCCTACAAGTCCTACTTTGCCCCTCTCTACTGGATTTTTCCCAGCAACATATAAATATGCTGTTAAATCTCCCAACCCAAAAATACAAAAGAAAACAAACTTTCTTTCAACCCTATACTCACCCATCCTGTAGCTATAGCCCCTTGCTTTCTTATACTCCCCTTTACAGCCGAATTCCTTGAAATAGATGGAAGAGATGAATTCTCTGTTCCCAGTCTCTCCCAACATATTCCACTCAGGCTTTTGCCTGCACCACGTCAGAGACATAGCTCTTGACAAGCTCTCCAGTGATTTCCAACAGCCTAAATCAAATGGTCAGTCTCAGGGCTCTTCATACATAATTCTCCAGCACTGGATATGGTCAAGCCTCATCCTTGAAACACCTTCTTTTCTTATATCTTCAACTTCTAAAGTTATAAGTGTAGCAGGACTCTCAATACAGACCTTCTTTTCTCTACCTACACATCCTCTATGATGTCACCCACTCTTGTGGCTTTAAATCCTACATATATGATAATTTAGTAGAATTCAGAATGCCTCAAATCAAGCTAATTTCTTCCCAGATCTGTTCCTCCTAAAGTCTTCCCCAATCATTAAATGAAGACTCTGTCCTTCTAGTTACTCAGGCCAAAGTCATAAGACTCATCCCTGACTTTTCTCATTCTTGGATATATCCATATCAACAAATAAAGTTGGTCTAACTTCAAAATATATGAAGAATCCAAACACTTCCCACCACCTCCACGGCTACCACCCCCAGGCCTTGCCTAGATTACTGAGATACTTTGCTGGTCTTGCTGCCTCCTCTCATCTCTCTGTGGTCTGGTTTCAACACAGCAACCAGAATGATGGTATTGTAAGTCAGTCAGATCTTACAACTCCTGGGCTAAAAACCCTCTCAAGAGTAAAAGACAAGGTCCTTCTACTGGCCTGTGAGGCCTTACAGGAACTGGTCCTCTCCAGTTGATTTCATCTCCCGGCACCCTCCCCTTGCGGACTCTGTTCCAGCCACACCAGCTTCACTGCTATTTCTCCAACCCATCCGCCACATTGCTGCCTCAGTTCCCTCTGCCTGAAAATATCTTCCCTTTGGAGGCATGGTTTACTCACTTCTCCCAGGCCTGTGCCCCACACTCATCCTTGCTCAAATTAGACAATATGAGTAGTAATTCTATCAACACCTTGCATTCCCTTCTCCCTTATTTTTTTCCATAGCACACACTACCACCTTTTACTACATATTAATTATTTATTAGTTTACAGTCTGTGTCTTCTCTCACTAGAGTTTCAATGAGGGCAGCTACAATGTGTTTTTTGTTCACTGCTATGTCCACAGTCTCTAAAACTATACCTGGCCCATTACAGACACAGAAATCTTTACTGAATGAATGAAACTATTGACATAAAATTAGAAATTCACATTAATTTAGTTTTAAAACACTGCATTGGTTGTATCTTGTGACATAAAAATAACTAAGTTTTTTTCTTACCCATTGGTTAACACTGCTGAGCTGTGCCATGTAGTAGTGTAAAGACTGGGTTGTCTTTTCCCACATCACGTAAGAGCCACCAAGAAAAGCCAAATCCCAAATGGGTCTCAGAGAAGGATCAATATGTCCATGGTTATCTGAGAGGAAGAAAACAAAAGCACATTTGTATTATGACATTTTGTGGGTAAAATTTCATATGTTTCAGTACTGAAATAGGGGCATAAGTTTAGTCACATTCGTCATCTCTTACAGAAGATCTTGAGCTGGACACATGACTTGTTCTTACCTGTTTCTACATCATATGAAGATTTATGTGCTTCAATTTGTCCTACTGAGTAAAGCTACTAAAAAAACTTATTTGCTGTACTATATTAATGTACTATAGTATGTATATACTAACATATACTATACTAATATAACTATATATATTAGTATACATACACTAATATACACTATACTAATATACTAATATAGTACAAATGTATGATATTAATGCAAAGTAAGAGCTATAATGGTACTCAAAGTCTTGTTAGTTGAGAAACGTCTTTAAATTAGATGGAAAAGTCTATCAGTTATCTTCTCCACATTATCTTCTGGTCTGGGTCTATAGTCAATGTGATGGTCTTTGCCAATCACTAAATGTCTTTCTCTGATCATGGCTTTAAAGCTAATCAATGAATTGGCAGTATCTCTGTTAGTGACTTGGAACACATGCAGAAATCAGGAGGTTTTTTCCTGTGGTATTGTTTTTGGAATTACAATATTTTTTTATTTCAGCAAACATTTATTAAAACCAACTTAACTACACTGATTAAGGTGGGATTACAATGATTAATAAATTACCTTTTGTGACTTTTAGGAACTCAAATTTTAGCAAGTTATTGATTTATGAGATAACTGCTCATGGACCATCATTTCATGCAACTTGGTGGAGATATTTTTAGCTTAAATATAAGCCAAATAATAGTATAATATGTGAGAAATAAGAACAAACCCACTAGGAAATTAATCCTTCTTGGTAAAATAATCATTAGCATAAATTCTTTTCTGTACTGGTAGAACTCGGGTGGTTTAGAATGGTTATCAATTCAAATATCATTCACAGATTGCAGGGGTGGTGGGAGGGTCACGAAGATGGTCCCTGCCCTCTACTTGTTGACAGTGCAGAAACACGGCTGATACCTTCCACCAGAGAAGGAGGGTCAAAGATCTGACAGAACATGGGAGGGAGAGGGGTCTTTGGGCTGGAGAGATTTGGGGAAAGCTTCCCGGGATGAGATTTGAGCTGAGCCCTGGATTCCTGTTGTGTATGTAGGGATGGGAGGGAGAGAGGGAAAGCTTCCTTCATCCATCTCCCAGTCACAGGATTCTTCTCCCAATGCTACTGTGAGTTCAACAAAACCTGTTACTAGAAGGCAAGTTAGTCACACCTAACACTGTGAATAGTGCAGACAATTGAAAGTATAAATGCTGGCAGTGCTGCTATAGAATCACTCAGATGACAGGACCCTGGCTGGTTGTTCCCAGGTCTTCAGTCTTTTCCTTTGTAGAGCACTTGGGCTCATGTATAGAAAGTTTGTAAATTCATCAGAAAAAGTGAAAACTGTACTCATACTAAAAATCAAACAGCTACCTTTTTGGGGGGGGGGGGAACAGTGTGGAGCAAGGATATCCTGAAATGGATTTAGATAGCCTTACCTATCAACTGTAGAGCAAGTTGGACTATAAAACCCCAATGTCCTGGAGGACTAAATGCTGAATAAAAGCTGCTGGGATTTGAACTGGCTAATCTGAGATCTCCATAGTTTTGACTGACTTATGTCTGAAAACAAGTCTTTTCTGTCTTAATAATTTTACAGACAAGCTATAAATAGTACCATTATATGCCTCCACTGAATTTAAAGTGACAACTATGGGGCACCGGGGTGGCTCAGTCAGTTAAGCATCTGACTTCAGGTCATGATCTCATGGTTCATGGGTTCGAGCCCTGCATCAGGCTCTGTGCTGACAGCTCAGAGCCTGGAGCCTACTTTGGATTCTGTGTCTCCCTCTCTCTCTGCCCCTCCCCCGCTGCCATTCTGTCGGTCTCTGTCTCTCTCTCAAAAATAAATAAACATTAAAAATAATTTTTAAAATGTTAACTTATAAATTCTGTTTATAAAAAGGTGCCCTATATTTAAAAAGTTTTTGGAGTTTCATGCCACACTAAGTTAGATTGTTACAGAATGATTCTTGTAGGCACGTAGGACTTTTTAACTGAACATAATGCAATTTACCTGCACTATTAAAACGTGTCCAGCGGTACCTGGGTGGCTCAGTTGGTTAGGCATCCGACTTTGGCTCAGGTCATAATCTCACGGTTCGTGAGTTCCAGCCCTGTGTCCAGGTTTGCTACTGTCAGCCAGGGAGTCTGCTTCAGGTCTTCTGTCTCTCTCTCTCTCTCTCTGCCCCTCCCCTACTCATGCATGTGTGCCTGTGTGTGCACGTTCGCTCTCCCACAAAAATAAGTATTTCCAAAAAAGAAAAAGTGTCCAAAACCTAGTGATCCTGTAGCAAATATTCAAAGAAAAGGTCCTCTACAGTTTCTAAAATTTGTTTTAAGGAAAATATATAAAATCTTATTTTCCCAGCCAATGCAAAAAGGGAAAAAAATCCCTAAATAACTATTGATTTTAAGCATTAGTCACTAGCCCATTTTTTTCAGACACTACTAAATATAAACAAATTCTACCACAACATAAGATTTAAATTGTTCCTTAGAAATCTGCGATAGGATTTAAGCTGAGTTGTCAAAGAACTGTTACGAGAAACATCCTAAAGCTTCTGAATTTTAGAAAGGCAAGGAGCGGTATTCTGCCTGCAGGTTTTTCAGAACACTTAGTCTCAACAAATGGGTAGGGCACAGATGCACCAGGAGTGGAGACCTCCGGTCCTTCCACATTGACTCGGGTCTGCTGTGGTTGCTGGGCAAATGAGTGAGCTCCGAGAGAGTGAGGGATGGGGTGCTAAAGTGGTCATATGTCAAGCTTAATACCCAAGCGCAAGTCCAGAGATGACTCTTGCGGTTTGGAAAATTGGATTTGCCAGTAAGTGCAGTCTCAACTGCTGCCCACACGCTCTACTGAGCGCCAGAACAAACGAGCTGTGCTGCACTTCGGCTGAGTCACTTCAGAGGGTAGGGCTCATTTCTTATTAAAGACAGCACCACTGCCCATTAGCTCTTGACCTAAAAGGAGATAAACTTGATTCCCCTGCAACCTCCCAGCAAGGCCCTGAGACAGGCTGGCTCGCCTAGCCCTGGTGTGGAAGTCTGTGATGGGCACAGTGGGGGTCTGGAATGGTGTCTAATCACATAAAGTATCCAAAGCCGCCATCAGAAATCTTTAGAAATGTTGCCTAAGGCTCTGGGCTCAACTCAGAAAACTATACCCCTATGTGCATATCCTATTGCAAAGACCTCTACCTTTTCTTTGAAGGTTCAGCTCTTGCCCTAATCCTTGTCTAGGATGGGAAGTGGGGAGATTAAAAGAAGGCTCCGGTAGCTCCTGAGGGCATTACTATAGCGTCCTGGAGATGAAGAAAGGAAAAGGATCCCTTCGCATTTTGTTTAAATAGGGATAAAAATTTTAATGATTATTCTTTTTAAGATTTAGCAATTATATACATTCCTGAATACAGAAATTCCAGACACTGATTCATACCAGGTATGCTGACTACATCCAAGGGGGTTTTGAGTTGCTTCATGTGCTTGTAAAGCAGGTAATCCTCCTGTTGTCTTTTGTTCTTCTCAATGAGGCGTGTACAAGTCACATTCACAGCTGGTCTGGGTTTCTGATTCCTGAAAAACACTCGAGCAGAACATTTCCCCAAGCGTTCCTCACCTTCCTGAAATAAAAATTTTGGAATTAAACACAATGGGTACTAATCCCTCCCCATCCACTCCAATACATAGGTACACAAAGACTGGCAGGATGCATTGGCAGTAATAGACGCAGTGGTCTTGGCTTCTGTCTGCTCACAGCTAAACACAACAGTCCTTCACTATTTGCGGTTATTTAAGGAGCTTTCTGACGACCCCCTTATACAACCAGGCTGGGCACATTCCAAAGAAAGATCATGGATGTCTATTGAGTACTGCTTGGTTCAAACCTCAAGGATAGTGGGTACTTTACTCTCTACTGTGGACTAACAAAGTGCTTAGCTGGACCTCAAGCCTGCTAAGTCAAACCAAAAGATGAAATGGTCTCCATGAACAAAAATGACAATATCCTCACACTGCTTTATGAATTCAGTCCTCAGATTCCAATTTTACAGAGTAAGATACTGAAGTCTAAAGAGGAACGTACTCCATGTCTCACAGCTAGTAAACGGTAAGCCAGGAATTGAGCTCCTGTCTGATGCCAAAGCCCTGCCTCTGTACTAACTCCATCTCTCTACTCCAGGATCTCATCTGAAAGGAATGGAGGCAGATGTCACCCAAAGGGGACTAATTCAAGGGATTTATTTGCATTCACATTTAAATGCAGACATCTGAGTATTCTGGGATCACCCTTAGTTTCCCATTCAGAGACATCTGGATTTGGACAGCTGGGTGCTGCAAGTAAGCATCACATGTAGGACTCAAGTGTTGGACAGTGCTTCTCCATCCTTATAGGCCACAGATTCCTTACCCCAACAACAAAAAACATCAGGGAACCTATTCCCAGGAAAATGCATGTATACTCAGACCATCAACATTGGGCCTAGAATTTGAGGAAGTTCGTGGCCACTAGTCATGGCCCCACCCAGACCCATCCAGGGGCCCCTAGTTAAGAACTCCTGTTACAGAGTGCTTGGTTGAGCAGTTCGCGCTTTTGTGCTTCTACAGTCATTTAAATTGGATGACAACAACCAAAAAAGAAACACCCAAACTTTTTTGGTTTCAACTGAAAAAGAAAAAAGCACAAAGAAAAAATTTTAATCAACATTGCATCTGCTTTATAAGCCCATTTCTAGTGCTAACTCAAAAAAACTGAAGTATGCTTTTCCAGTGGGAGACTTTTCCCCCTGTGAGTGCTAGCTTGAAAGAGAAGGAGCTTCGGTGGTGCATTAAAATCCTAATTATCGGCAGAAAAGAGAAATAAAGGTGAAAGGGGCATCCAGAAGAGGCTTATGGAAAGCAGAAGAGAGGGCTGGCACACAATCTCCTTTGATGTCTAAGCCGTTTCCAGGGAAGAGAAAATGAACCAGTTTTTGTTTTCTTTTGTTTTCCTTTCCTTTTTGTTCCCCCCCAAACAGCTCCACAGAATCAAAGCAAAGCACTCTCATCCTTCTGAAATGGAACATTTCAATTAGCGAGCTGTGCTCTTTACAAAAACATATTGCTGGTCAAAATGATCTAGGAAGTGTATTTTTCCTTTAGCTTTAATCTTAACACTTTCCGTTTGCAAGGCTAGAAATCAAAGGGGTCTTTCGTGGGCTTCCTTCATTCTTCTTGAAGTAGCAAAGTCAGAATGTGCTGTTATGTTGTTACAACTTGTTTCTATAGACTGGTAAATATTCTTCCAGGAGCCTCAGTCTGGGGGGGGGGTGTCTTGCCTTCTCCAGGCCCTCCCCGCCCTCCCCCCCCCCCCAAACTGGGAAGGAAGCTCTGCCTGCCCCTGAGATACTTGAATGTGATGACTCCTGCTCTGACTCAGCACCACACAAAGCGCATCTGGGCTGGTCTTCTCTCCACCCATGTTTCAGATGCTGCCACCCGGCTTGGCCCAGCACATGGAAGCTCATCTGGCTTTAATTTCTGTGTGAGTCTTCTGTTTACTCCTTTCCCAAGAACGGGTAAAGGAAACTTGGCAAACAACGGCCTGCTTGGTCAGGACTGTAGGGACTAATAGTGCCTGCGGGATACACTGGTATTGCTCTTTGTTTTACAGAAGACTTCTGTATGGAAGTTCCTGGATTGGCCTCGTGCTATGTCGGCCTGCTAACGAGAAATGTCACCAGCTGACAGGAGGGGGCAGGTTGACATTTGAGAGTGAGTCATTCTAAGCATTCAAAGGTGCTAGAAGAGATACCAAGGGGACTGTGAAATTTCCTCCCAGGGGCAAAAGAAGGAGGGGATGGTGGCTCTAAATGCAGCCCTGCATAAGACCATGATGTTGAAGGCATTAAATACTGAGTTCCTGCCTAGCTCTGTTCTTCAATTTTTGGAGACTAGAAAACAAAGCAGAACAAAACAACCGCAAACCTCCAGATCACTATATATTCAGATTTTCACCATTTATTTAATTTTTTAATGTTTCTTTATTTTTGAGAGAGCAGGACAGAGAGTGAGCAGGGGGAGGGGCAGAGAGAGGGAGACACAGAATCTGAGCTGTCAGCACAGAGCCTGATGAGGGACTCGAACTCACAAGCCATGAGACCATGACCTGAGCCAAAGTCAGATGCTTAACTGACTGAGCCACCCAGGTGTCCCCAGATTTTTCCCTTTTAAAAAAATAAAACTGTATGCATTGCTAATTGGATACTTCACCAATTATGGCAGCTTACCTCTGGGTTATAGCGATCTGTGGTAAACACCAGGTCAACCTGACATTCCTTCTTTGGATTAACCTAAAACAGAGAAACCAAGTCTTAGCCTAGCAAAAGTTCTGTTAACATCTTCCTATCCAAGAATTACTCCCTTGGAATACCATAGCATGCAAATAGTAACTACAGCATTTATATTGGAATAAGATCAGTGACTTTTTAGAAGGAGAAAATATCTCAAATTTTGGTCTGATCATGACACTCTGCTTGGTAGTTTGACACCTACCTACAAACGGGGATTGGGAAAGGGCCACGGTTGTATTGAGCGGCCAGTTGACTTTGTGAGAGCAGCTAGATGGGAAACAGACGTGTGCCCGAGGGCTGGGGGTGAGCCCTTCTCCACAGCCTGCCCTGGGCGCGGGGCTGCATCTGTGAGGCAGGCGGGGGCGGCAGCGGGTAGTCAACAGGGGAGACAGGAAAAAGGGTGTACCCGGTAATAAATAATGGATTTTCAGATGGTGAGAAGGCAAGACAGAGAGGTGGGGCAGGAAGGGCTACCTTCTCTAAGGTGGGTGAGGAGGTGCCCTGAGGAGGAGGCCTCAGCTGAGCTGGAAGGGACAGCAGGGAAGCAGCCACCCCCAGAGCCGGGGGGCGGACGGGCCCTGCCAGCGAGGCAGGAGGCCTGGGACAGGATGGAGTGCCAACCCTGAAGTCCTCACTGTACGGCCTCTCCTTCCCCTGCAGCTTCACCAGCAGGCACACTTCTAAACTTTGGGAATGCTCATTTAGCCTTTTAAACTTTGTAATTGCTCCCAATGCCAATTTTTAGAATATACAAAGCCATATCACTGAGGCAATGTAAACGGTTTAGAAGAACTTTATGCTATTTGCCATCATTTTTTTTTTTTTGAGAGCAAAATGATCATTCAGTAAAAGGAATATTTTCTAGAGGACATTTCTGCTGCATGGAGCTGAAGTTATTTCATATAGTCTTAAGTTGGACTTTGGAAACATTGATCTCCTTTGAATCTTTTTTTACTATTCTAAAATAAAGTTTATTTTTATTTTTTTAAGTTTATTGTCAAGTTGGTTTACACAGAACACCCAGTGCTCATCCCCACAAGTGCCCTCCTCCATGCCCATCACCCTCCTTCCCTTCTCTGCGCCCCCCACCTCAGCCCTCAGTTTGTTCTCAGCATTTAAGAGTCTTTCACGGTTTGCCTCCCTCCCTCTCCCCCACTATGTTTCCCCTTCTTCTCCCCCATGGTTCTCCATGAAGTTTCTCCTAACCCTCCTATACGTGCAAACATATGGTATTTGTCCTTCTCTGCCTGACTTATTTATTTATACAATGGAATACTACATGGCGATGAGAAAGAATGAAATCTGGCCATTTGTAGGAACATGGATGGAACTAGATGGTGTTATGCTGAGCAAAATGATTTCCTTTGACTCTTAGCCCAGGATTACAACAACCAAACAGGACTGTGATTTTAAATAGGGCACATACCATCCATTCCTAGTTCAGCTCCTTAGCTGGAGGAAGGAGGGATAGGATTCTCTGGCAATTATTTATATAAAGAATGTTTAAATATGTGACTATATAGATGTTCCTGGGGTTGGGGGAGCTCCCAGAGCACTACACAGGGGCAGTTTGCTTAGCACTCATTTTCAATCTTAAAAAAGTTCTGGTGTAAGTTGAAACACTGATTTTAGTTTACAGAATTCATACACACAAATCTGTCTTCACTCTCATTCACTGTTTGCCACAGACCATGCCAATCATGGTGGGGGGTGGGGGGGGTGGGATGGGATATAAAGAAATGGAACATCCAGTCCAGCCTTACCGGAGACCTACTTCTAGTGTGGAAACAGGCAAATCAATAGAGACATAGTGTGCTTGCTCAGTGCAGGGTGCTAAGGCCAGAAGGCTTTCTCCAGCAAGCAGGGCCTGAACAGCTCTTTGAGGAGGAGGTATTGGTCAGGCAAGGGTGTCGGAATAGAATATAGGGGCTGGTGTTCCAGGGGAGGCAATGACCCGAGAAAAAAAAGCTGTGTGGGGAGTTTGGCACGAGGTCATGGGAATTCTTTTTTTTTTTTTTTTCTTTTGAGGGAGAGACAGCAAGCATGCAAACAAGGGAGAGGCAGAGAGAGAGAGAGAGAGAGAGAGAGAGAGAGTGCTGTCCGCACAGAGCCCGATGCAGGGATCGAACCCATGAATTGTGAGGTCATGACCTGAGTGGAAATCAAGTTGGATACTTAGCTGATTGAGCCACCCAGGCATCCCTCACTTTTTTTTTTAAATGAAGAGAATTTGGAACTTGATCCTAAACTTGGGGGTGTCCCAGTAAACATAACTACAGTAGTTAGGGTGTTGTGAAAACTAAGATATGGCATTAAAAGGGCTTATTGGGGTAAAAGTTTAGTGTATGTTCACTATTTTTATCGTTAGTAAAATCTATAGACATGAGGGAGAGAAGAAAACTGTGCTAGAAATTAGAATCTGGCCCAAGTTCCAGGCTACGGAAGAATGTCAACACAGATTCAAGGTTGCTGTTACTTTGGTTCACTCCTGCCTGAAGCTCCCTTTGTCTCCAAGATTCCGGAAGTTTGGGGTCTTTGCTGCCCAAGTTAAAGGAGCACAGGGACCCGTGGGCTTGCTGCCTGTGACTCCCACACCACACTGGCACCCACAAGAACTCATGCTCACAGGAGGCAGCACCTCTGCTTGCTGTCACATTCTAGGCCTTGAATCTTTGGCTGCACCAGCCCTGGGGCCCTCTCCCCTGCTACCTGAAGGACTTTGTTTGCATTTGCTTAGAGGCTTCCAGAGAGCAGCTCTCCTACACAGGAGTCAGAGACACCCCCCCACCAGGCTGCTGGGTGGGGGGGGATGGGCGGAGAGACCATTCATGAGGGGGAGGCAGAGTTGACAGGTACCATCTTTGGTGCCCAGGAACATGGGAGAGGAGTCAGAGGTCAGCTGAATGTCACAGAGGTAGATTCAGTGGAGGTAGCGTGGTTGAAGCCAGGGAACTGGACGCAGCCCGCACGCGAGACATATGTGTACACAGAGAAGAATCCCGAGGACCACAAACCTTCAGATCAATAATACATTGGGGCATGCTTATTCACCATACACAAGGATTCACAAAGGTCTTCCTTATCCTTGACACAACTGTGCGGATTTGACATAAACTACTGAAGACAGTATTTGAAAACAGTGTTTTTGAAAACACATGGAGGCAAAGTGAGGTACATCCTCTATAGGGAAAGAAACAGAACTTGATTAACAAAGGCTGCGAGCTGAGTCAGAATGGAGCCTGTCCTTTTGAAGAGCTATTTTCCTTGCTGATTTGGTTTCCTTATTTTAATTAAGCACTCTTAAAAGCATCTATGTTCTGTCCAAAATATGATTTTTATGTTTTGGGTTGGACTTTATCATTTATCAAGACACAGTGCTTTAATCTCCCGCGAAGGCCTCTCCCTCCTCTTTGTATGAGTCACGAACTCCTCTGAGGCAGCTTTGCTTGGCTGCCGTGTGGCTGGTGGGAGATAAGGCCTGTGGGCACTGGCAGCAGCAGCTGGCACCTTCCCCATCTGGGACAGTGTCTCGTGCTCCTCTGGCCTGGCTGCTGCAGCACTGTGTTTCACTCTGGTTGTATTTATTTATTTTTTTGAGACACAGGGCACAAGTGAGCAAGGAGCAGACAGAGAGAGAGAGACAGACAGACAGAATCAGTGCTTACCCAAAGTGAGCTTCTGTTTTACCTACAGGGGGACTCGAGCTTACTTGATGTGGGACTTGAAATCACGAACCGTGAGATCATGACCTGAGCCAAAGTCGGATACTTATGACTGAGCCACCCAGAAGCCCATTTATTTTTTAAAAAATATCTTATGTTTTAGGGGCACCTGGGTGCTTCAGTCAGTTAAGCATCTGACTTCGACTCAAGTCATGATCTCACAGTTTGTGGAGCCTTGTGTTGGGCTCTGTGCTGACAGCTCAGGGCCTGGAGCCTGTTTTGGATTCTGGGTCTCGCTCTCTCTTTGCCCCTCCTCTGTTGGTGCGCGCTCTCTAAGATAAATAAAAACATTAAAAACATTTTTTAAAATGCCTTATGTTTGGGGCACCTGGGTGGCTCAGTCAGTTGGGCGTCCGACTTCGGCTCAGGTCATGATCTCACAGTTCATGGGTTAGAGCCTTGCGTCAGGCTCTGTGCTGACAGCTCAGAGCCTGGAGCCTGCTTCAGATTCTGTGTCTCCTTCTCTCTCTGCACCTCCCCCACTTATGCTCTGTCTCTGTCTCAAAAATAAATAAACTATTAAAAAAATAAAATAAATGCCTTATGTTTTAAAGTAATCTCTATACCAAACATGGGGCTCAAACTCACAACTCCAAGATCAGAAATCTCAAGCTCTACCGACTGAGCCAGCCAGGTGCGCCTACTCTCAGTCTTTGATTAAAACTGCTCTGCAGTACAGTGGCCTTAGTTGTTGAACACCCACTGCAGGATTCGTAGCACTGTGCTGGGTGCTGGAACACAGGGACAGAACAGTGGTAGCCATGCCCTCAGGGCAGTCAGGTAGGGAAGGACTTCTACGGGACCACTGTAGGACTGGTGATCTGATTACAGAGGATGTAAGAGCTGTGACAGAATTGGAGGACCACTCCAGTCTAAGGATCGGGGAAATGAAATCTAAGCTGAACTGTGAAGCTTGAGAAGGAATAGACTTGGTGAAACAGGGGTGAGGGGCATGCAGGCAAATCACTCCACATGGAAGAACAGTGGGGAGGAAGGCCCTGAGGGGGGGGCGAGTGGGGCCAAAGGGCAGAGACAGGAGCCGGACCGCCTTCCCCAGGAGGCGATGGTGAGGACTTCATCCTAAGAGAAATGGGGAACCATGGGGACAGAGAGATTTTTTTAAAAAAATCCCTCCAGCTGGAGGGTGGAGAGCTGGTGCTGGGGTGCGGAAGTATCCATAGTGACCACTGGAAGCTGGCTAAGGGGGTGGATGAACCAAGGTGGGGACCGTGGAAATGGAGAGAAGTGTACGGTGGACAGACAGGACTGCTGCACCAG